CTTCTTTTCCACGATATATGCACCCGGTTCTGGTTCCGGTGCTGCGCCCTTCACCTGCTCTTCCAGTACCAACCACTTTGTGTCTTTGATTACAGTCTCGAGCAATGCACACCGGCCAAAAACGGCCTTTCGGGACACGGGCTCCTCACCAGCCAAACTACTGATCCACACCCACCAGAAAGAGTCATCGAGATCGAGAGTGGTGATGCTTGCGAGCTCACCCGGTTCCATGGACGGCTCGTCATTTAGGCTGCGCTTGTGTGACTGCGAGCTTTGGCCCCGGACGCTTGCGATAGGAGGAAGAACCTTGTCAGGAGGAAGAAGCAAAGGAGCAATCGGGCCCTTCAGGCCGTTCTCGTCGCCAAAGCCGGACGACATGAAGTCTGCCCATGATGGAGTCGTGGGCCGACCGAAGTCACCTGCACCGGACTGTGGAGCGGACCTCAAGCCACCTCCGAATTCGTTCCTGGCTAGACGAACTGCGCTTGAATCATCATCCAGGTCAGACTCGAGGGCACCGCCAAATCCAAGGTCCTCAAATCGCGACCACGAGGCTTCCCGAGTCGCCGATCCCGGCTCTGGTGCACTTGACTGATTGATGGAAGAGATGCATTTGAGCACACGAAGACACTCATCGGTCAGTGCCTTGGTGGGCTCCTCGAAGCTGGCGAACTCCTGGAGATGGCGGTCGCTGTCTCTGTACTCGAAGTTCTTTGCGCGCCGCAGCAGAGCGAATGGAGTAGGGGAGACGGTGTCGACGATCATCACGACTCTGGTGGTGGAGACCTGAAGTAGGGTGGGCGTCTCTGGCGGATATTCCGTCGCCCGGACAAGAGTTTGAAGGGAGATAGGGAGCGTTGTAATGGCGTTCACCCCGCGCAGTTCGGGCGACAAGGATCGCAGATAGGCGAAGAACAGATGGCTTGTCGCATCAGCGGCCCTACAGGACGTCAGCTATCAAATCCTCTGTACGGATATATGATCAGTTAAATCATTTCCGTGACATACCGTGCCCAATTCTTATAAGCGGCCTCGAAGCCGTTGCCCGTATCCGCATGATCGAATGCCCACCATCCGGCATACCGGGAGAGTTTCCGTCCACCAAGACCATTAGATTTACCATGTGCTGCGACGGCAGCGAGGAGGTCGAAAAAGTCGAAAACAATCTTTGACCGAGCGTCAGAGTCGACACTGATGGGAATGAAAGTCGTAAATGCGTCGGGGGCAAACTGGGAATCTAAGGTTCATCAGCGCGCACGTTCCTAAGCAGATGCCGCTTGAGACATACCTTGCTCTCCAACCTTAAATAGCTCATATGCTTCCCAGGTAACGACTCCTCCAGGGAGTCGACTCCAACACCATTTCAGCACACTGCACAGGACCTATACGACACAGACACAGAATACGAATGAGTAAATGACCCCTCAGCGTCAGATAGCAAATAGAATGTATTGGCTCACCATGGGGTCCGACAGCCGGAGTTCTTGTGCCAATGTATCCCCGCTCAGAGGTGAGCCCCTTTCCAGGGACTGATTGAAGTAGTTACGGATGAAGGTACGTGCAGCGCTGGCGTCGGTACTTGGGCGGAAGGGTAGAAGTAAAAAGGGAGTTTGAAGAGCTGTCAAAAGGAGAACGAGGCAAGGATCAGCAAACTGAGGAATGCGCAAAGCTTGACTTGACTTGTACACCAGCGGGGGGCGGTGGATCACATCGGTTCAAAGATAGAAACACATACCTCGTGCCTTCAGTTCTTGGGTGCACCCTCGCAAGAGTTCCTGAACCTCTTCGGGGGCAACCTCGGATCGCTGCCACGCGTCGGTCCATGTGGGCTTTGCGGGCCCTTTCTCTTCTACTTCCGGGGATTTGGCTGCTTTCTTTGCAGCATTGTTGTCTTTACTTCGAAAGACGCGAGTGAAGAAAGGCATCTTGCACCATGCGCACGCCAGATTTGTTTTTGCGGGGAATACGCGATCGAAGGGGGAGTTGTAAATGAGTCCAAGGCGATGCCCAACGGCGGAGTAACGTAGATGCGTTTGTCCGTAGTGAAGTCGAGATCCAATGAGATCAGTAGATTAATGCGAGCGCGAGTGTTTGGGGGTGGGAAGGGAAGATCCAACAGATGTGCTCCAACACTTTTTTTTTGCAATGGACCTTCAGGACGCAAGGGTGGTTGACCCGTATTAAGGAAAAAGGAAACAATCGAGAAGCAGAGGCGGACTTGACACTGAAACCCAAGTCGGATGATGAATCGGATACCTCAATAGATTAAACCCTAGTCAGGAAAAAATAAAATAACTGCAAAGTCAGGAATTAGAAAAATAAAAAATGGTCCGATGGACGACGCAGACAGCAAGGACCATCCAGGAGTGTCCTAGAGGGAGGACCGCCTGCAGCCCAGGATGGGGCAGCACGTCTAGCGTGCAGCAGCAGCAGCAGCAACCGCGAGGGAATTCAGGGTAGTAAGGAAATGCAATCGAGCAGCTGGCCAACGAGCGTAGATACCACTGTTAATCCCGGATGACAACGTGGTGGAAGGGGAATTAACAGAAGACAAAGCGTGACAGAAACAAAGATTGGCAGAAAGGAGGGGGGAATAAAGGAGAGGGGAAAAGAAACACTGAAGTCGCAAATTGAGATGAAAAAGGACGGCGATGATGAGGATCTACTGGGCTTGCCGTTTCAGGGGGTGAAAGATTAATACGCCCGCAAAACACAGCAATCTGGTGCCATGGTTCTCTATCCGCGATCCAGTCGGTAAACGACCGTCGATTGGAGCAAACGAAAAGAGATAACCCAACCGAGTCAGAACTCGATCGGGCTCCCCTTCTTTTCTGGATCTTTTGCTTACTTTCTATGAGGTCACAGCTGAGGAACGTGGTTCCCACCAAGTTATATATTCAAAGGCGTTATGTTGGCCAACATGGTTGACTATCTCCCGGTAGGTTACTTTAGTTAGCTATCTGGCGGGAGACGATGATCAACATTACCTAATTTATGGTATTATCACACCCTCTTTCCTAACATTACACACATTCTCCATACATCCCCTCATATACTGCATACAATGAACACAGTCCAGACTCATCATGCCTATGAATCCTATTAATCCTTCCCTTGGCATGGAAGACCTGCGGGGCCCAATGGTGTTTCACTTGCTGAAGATTCATTATGCCCTTCGTCACAGGGTATGAGTAGTAGTAACTAGTAAGGATAGTAGTATATACTTACTAACTACGCCGTAAACTGTGCAATATTGGTGCCCAGTCCGGGTCATTTGATGTGACATGGTTGTACAGCAGCAATAATTTTCTTTCCTATTGGGAAACATACCGCCTCTCCAAGCGTGTCGCGTCGAGTGTGATAAGTTGATTAGGGTAGAGTTAGTGTCATGTAGGAAGCACCTAGCCTGGCCTGCACCACCTTAGCACCGCCAGAACAGATCCTACGATTCCACTCAAAGAAAGTGATCTCCTGTGACGGGTCACGGTGCAAGGACCAATCAGAGGACCTGGCTGGAAGAGGCAAGTGACTGATCAGGAGTCCCTGTTGGCCCGATGCGGATTAGGCGTATCGCCAACTGGAACTAATCCGGTTTGGGATGGTCGATACCTGAGGCTGGCGGTGATAGCGATACGCCAGACTTGACTTGGCTGTGACTGTGCCGGCAGGCGGTAAAAGAACAACCAACGGCGCAGCTTTGTTTGGATAATTCTGTGGTTGGGGATTGTGCCAGCCAACTGCAATGTAACCTCATCTGGATTAGTGATGATGGCGTTATTCACAGTTCCCCCCCTCTCAATGAATGTAGATTAGTTTGACTTGGTTAGTGTTAATGTTGGAAAGAGGGGGATAATTTCTCCATGGGAGGAGGAGGGGGTGGAAAGAGGGGTGGGTAAGCGTGAGATAGCATTTAGCTGAGAGGAAGAAGAGAAGGAGGAAGATGCTGGTTAAGATGATTCACGAAAATAAGCATGAAATTCAAAGGTGAGATTTTGAAGGAGAGGATGCTACCCTTTCATCTTATATCTACTCAACTACTGACGGAGTACCTAGGTACAGTAAGTAGGTGGTATAGAAAAGTGTGAACTGCCGGGACAATCAATCTATTAATAGGGAGGCGGTAGTCAACAGCCGCCGTTGGCGAGTTGGTTAGCCGCCGGGAAGATGGGCCAAACCTCGAACGGGCGGCAGCTCTTCCCACCGTCGGTCTATCTTTAGAATAATCTTCTGCATCACCCGCGTGTCGCCGCTCCAGCCATCAATCATCCTTTCCCTTTCTCACTCAATCCCCATCCATTCCATCATCGTTTCCCCCTCCCCATCCTAGAAATTAATTGACTTTTTTGTTCTATCACGTCGCCTATCTCTCGTCTCTCGTTGCTCAAGGTGGGTTTCCTAAGGCCTCGTCTTTCTCTCTCTCTCTCTCTTTTCCCTTTGTTTCCCTACCCTGTCAATCCATCTCTCTCTCTCTACCGCCCACCCCCTTTGTCGTGTCTTCTTGCCCGTCGGATCACGCCCGCGCGCGCCCTTCTGGTGTCCTGTTCATCCCTCCTCCAAAATACCGTCACTCTTCCTAATCTCACCCCTCCTTCCTCTTGCTTCTCCCACCCAAACAACTCTCTCGCATCACCAACCCCCTCCCACACACACACAACCCCCCGGTCGTTCACTATCTTCCCTGGTTTTTGCGTATTTTCGCGCCTTACCTTCCTCTCCGTAGCGGAGAAGACAGTACTTCTCTCCATGTGGGGACTCTAGGGAAATACTAAATATAAATTCTGCCCACAGTCTTGGAGGTTCCTGCCATCCTTTTTTATTATTTTTTTTACACCCTCTAATCGCGTCCCGGAAATCCTTGCGGGCGGCGCTTCCTCGAGTTTCAGCTCGCGCCGCCATCTGTTCCGGACGAACCATTCCCCCCCAGAAGCTCTGCTTGACCTGTTCGCCTGCGTGTTTCATCGACGCTCTTTTCTGTGGGATTCGCTCGTCCGCTGTCCCTCATGGGTCGCAGAAAGATCGAGATCAAGGCGATCAAGGATGATCGCAACCGCTCAGTGTAAGTGCTAAAGCTGGTGGATCTCTTCACCTCTCCCCATTAAACCCTAGTTCGTCAAGCTAACGCTCTGGTGCGCTACTAGGACCTTTCTGAAACGGAAGGGTGGTCTGTTCAAGAAGGCACATGAGCTTGCGGTCCTTTGTTCGGTAGATGTCGCTGTCATTATCTTTGGTCACAACAAGAAGCTCTACGAATTCTCGTCATGTGATATGCGAGAGGCCCTCACTCGATATCAATACGTGCGTTGTCCACCTAACCCGCTCGTCTGGAAAGACTCCCGTTGATCTGACATCGCCCGCTTTCTCATGCTATAGTTTGGTCCTCCACATGAACACAAAGGCCCCGAAGACTTTAACGGCAAACGTGACGATGATGATGACGAAGATGAGACGACGCCTGCCCCCGAAGATGTGCATCCTACGCCTCCGAACCCTCCCATGATTCCCGCCCACCTACCAGGTCATCCCGGTTTCCAGCATGTCACTCATGCGCCGTCTGCTTCTCCGCCCATCGGGAATGGGATGTTTGCTCCGCGCCACGGTACCCCTCAACCGCAGGGAGTTTCTCGGCCTTCGTCTCGGAATCACCTTCGCCGAGTGAGCTCCAATATGGGGCCTCAGCAGCATCATCATGCGACACCTCCGCCGCCTCCGCCGCCGCCGCAAAATGGCTTCACGTACATTCCTAACCCTTCGGTATATAATCCCAACGCTGCTCACGCCATGGCTCAACCTCCCCGCCCACCTCAGTTCACTCATTACGGACCCCCGGGGCCGCATCACCAACCGCCTCCGCCTCCACAGCATCATCAAGCTATGCCTCCACATTCCATGCCCCCACAGCCTATGCCTCCACACACAATGGCACCGCAAGCCATGCCGCCGCATCATCAAGCTCCTCCACACATGCCACACCCGCCTCATGCACTTGCACAGCAACCGCCTCCAATGGCTATGACCCAACCGCCCCATGCCGCCATCCCACAGGTCGCGCAAGCGTTTCTCCCAGACCAAGGACGAAATTCTATGCCTCCGGCATTCACAACAGATCAGCAGCCACCGCCACCCCGAACAGTATCGCTCCCTGAGGGGGCCGCTCCGACAGAGGCAATGCCGGGCCCCATGAAGACGGAAGGAACTCCATCCCCGCCGCATCAGCGATCTCTCTCCTCCAAATCTCGCAGTATCTTCACACCCATTGACGATCGAGGTTCCGTATTGGCGCGCCATTTCGGTGTAGGTCCTCCGACGGAGGCGGGAGAGAATGCGCAAACAAGGGCCGAAGGACCAACACACGGACCGAATGACGGGAAGCCTGCCGGGCTGACTGCAAAGCCTCCTCCTCCGCCTCCTCGAGCTGCCACGGAAGCCCCACGTGCACAGCCGGTAGTCGACCTGAAGCCGCCTGTGCGCACAAACAGCGGCCAGTTCCCGCCTAAACGCCCGCAGTTGAAGGTGCAGATACCGAGTGAGAATTCGGACCGGGGCAGCGCAACGGCGGACTCATCGTCACGCGATTCGGCGGGGAATAAAACGCTCACGCCTGCCAAAGCAAATCCAGACACCGGTCATTCGAGCGTGGTATTACCACCGCCCTCGCCGTCTGCAGGCGCAATACTAAGTGCGGGGGCTCAAGGACCGCCAAATCCTTTTGCCCGGCCTCCGCCTCCGGGAGCAGCAACACAGAACAACAGTGCATACAACAATAATAGCAATATAGATACGCCGATCTCTGCTCTTCCTAGTCGGTTCGTCTCGGATGCGCTTCTCCCGTCACCGTCCAGTTTCTTCCCGGAATGGGGCTTTGGGCGGTCTGGACCAGACAGCAATATGCTGCCCAGTCCTCTAACGTTCCCTACGCCGGCGGTGCAAAGTGGCCCCGGGTTTGGGCGCGAAGATGAGCAAGACAAAAAGCGCAAAAGCCCCGACAGTGGACCCAATGCGGAAGGGGTATTAAAGAAACCAAAGACGTAAATCCACTCCATATTGTTACAACTACTAGACTGATGATTGTGGTATTTTGTTGCTGGGGTGATCATGTCCCCCGTGTTTCATATATGGCATCTCAAGGCGTTGGCGAAAGCTACTTTTGGTTTCCTTAATTGGGATGGGAAAGTTTCGAATGAGGCTCGTTTTGTTTCCCTTGGATCCTTTTTTGTCCTCCGGTTCTGAACAAGTACCAAGTCCTTCCTTGTTTTGTGATAAGGGTTTCCGATTTAACTTTATACCCCTTCCTTTTTATTGTTATTGCCATTGTCGTTTTTGGCAGTTGACCTAGCTATCCATCGATTTCTCTCTCTCCAAAGTCCGAAATATATGAGAATGGTGCGATAAATCTTTCCTTTTCCTTACCTATTTCCTTACTGTTTTGCTTTATTTTTATTCGCTGGGGACTCTGAAGATAAAACACCTAATATTATCATATTAAGTGTTTTAATCTTCCTAGTCACGGGTGGCTTTTTCTCTTTCATATATTATTACTATGTTCTTATTATTTTGGGTGGAATTACAAAAACAAAAAACAAAAAAATGTGTACATAACCAGCCGTGCGATGTGCAACTAGGAGAATTTAATTCAATAGTAGGATTTTTTAGCTTTGTGGTTCACCGCACGTCCCGTGTTTCCTTGCCGGTTGCTTCTAATTATACATAAGAGTTTAGTTATCTGATAGTAGGGATTAATTATTTTTAAGATTGATTGATTGATTGATTGATTGATAGTTCCGCTTGCCGGAAACCTAAATATAAAAAAACGTTAACTCTAAATCTTTTTTTGGTGTTGGGGGGCGCACGAGTCATGAATGACATCAGTTTTATTTTTTATCTCTTGTTATCTGATGGATACGTAGATGGATATGCAAATGCAAGGATGGGGTTTAAGTTCATAATACGAGGGACTTTGATAAGTGGTATGTACGGATGGATGATGGTAGTATGGGGTTTGGTATGGTAGGTAGGTAGTTCAATTTGGTTGTTGTTGTTAATATTTTTTATTTGCGTATCTTCAAGTTGTTTCATTATCATAGTAGTATGTATATGCTACTGCTAAGTGGATGTGTCAATATACTACTTAGCAGTATCTCACGCAGTCACAGTCAAGTAGTATTAGATTTTAATGTTTAGATACATCACATCATGATAATCATCTTGTGTAAATGTAAATGCCATGCAAGTATGTATGTTGAATGCAGATGAAAGGTTTCTAGTTCAGTTTCGTTAGTGTAGTTGAAATCCATCCCATCCATTATACCTTCTTCCTTCGACCAATATCTCTCTTCCTCTCTCGCTTTTTATTTCTAGCCTTGTAGGCCTGAATCATTAATAGTTTTTGAGTTTCGTTCCCACAGGGATAAAACCAGGATTTTGCATGTATGTAAACTGAAATGAAGAAAAGTCCGAGGAAAGGATGCATCAAACCGCCTCCTTCGCCTCTTTCTCTTCCTCCCCCCTCTCCCTTTTCTGATCCTTCAAAACTGCCTGTCTGGCCTTTTCCTGCTCTGCGAGACCGGTTTTTGCAATGGTATGCGATTTACTCAGCACAACAGGCCTTACAAACAGACTTATGATAAGTCCTAATCCGGCCATCGCAGTATAGAAGATCCACATGCGACTCAGGGCCAAAGTATACGCCTTCAGCACGACAGTCTTCTGAGCGCTGCCCAGGGACTTGATCAGTGTGCTAGCAGATCCTGAGAACGAGTTCTCGATGGACGTGGCCTTTGCCTCGCCGATCGCGGCAGCGACTTTGGGCATCTGCTCGTGGAAGACATTTTGGTAGATGACTGTGCCCAGGACGATGGAGATGGCGGCAGACACCTGGCGCAGGAAACCGAAGGTAGCTGTTCCGGCGGCCATATCTGAGGGGTGTATGTTGGCCTGTAGAGCGACAAGCGGGGACTGGAAGAGCGGGCCAGTGCCGATACCGCCGATGATCTGGTAGATGATGATGCGGGGCCAGGAGGCGTAGTACTTCAGGTCGATGAGGAGGCCGTACCCGAGGGTCATGAGGGCGAAGCCGGCGATGATGAGTTCGCGGTAACGGCCGGTCTTTTTGATGACGAAGCCGGTGGCGGCGGAGAAGATGGAGAGGCTGAGAACGGTGGGGAGGACGTAGACGCCGGACATGATGGGGCTGGCGAGGAGGACGGTTTGGAAGTATAGAGGTAGGTAGTAGGAGCCGGAGATGAAGACCATGCTGTGGCAGAAACAGAGCAGGAGCATCAGGACGTTGTGGGTGTTGTTGAACAGGCGGATGGGAATGACGGGGTAGCGAGCGAATTTCCATTCGTTGAGAACGGCGAGGCCCCAGGTGAAGACGCCGAAGACGATGAGGCAGACTACTGTTGGTGAGTCCCAGGGGTAGTTGACGCCGCCGAATTCGAGACCGAAGAGGAACATTAGTGTGCCGCCGAGCATGAGCATGTTACCGGTCCAGTCGATGGAGCGGATGCCCGCCCAGAAGGGGACTTTGCCGGTTTCAATCTTGAGGAAGAAGACGAGGATGACGAAGGAGACGCCACCGATGGGGACTGGGGATTGTTAGTGGGGTGTTAGGGCTGGAGGAGGGATGGAGAGAGGCTTACGGTTGATGTAGAAGCACCAGCGCCAGGTTACATCTGTAGTAAAGGCACCACCGACGATAGGGCCCAAGGCACCGGCGATGGCCCATGTAGAGCCGAAGAGACCATAGTACATGGGGCGTTCTCTGAAGGTGTGTTAGCGCTGGGTCAGTGGAGGACTAGTGGAGAGGTGCGACAGACCTGACACTGAAGAGATCGGAGACGCAGATATTGGCTAGCACGATGATACCACCGCCGCCTGCACCTTGGATGGCTCTGCCGGAGATAATCATGGGGAGGTTAATGGCCAGCGCGCAAATCAGACTGCCGACGAGGAAGAGGAAATTGGCGATAAGAATGATGCGCTTGCGACCCCAAACATCACTGATTTTCCCCCATAAGGGGACACAGGCTGCGTTGGCCAACATGTATGATGACGCGATCCATGAGTAACCGCTTTCGGAAGCGTTGAAATGCGTTGCGATAGTAGGTAGGGCTGTAGAAACGATAGTCTATAGAGACAACGAGTGTGAGTAGAGGTAAATGCGACGGTGCGATAAAGGGTCGTTACCATATCCAAAGCTGCTAGGAACAAGACAAGCTATATATTAAAACACCATGTGGTTAGCGATGGAGCCATCAGAAGCATGGAAAAGCAAGGGACATACACAAAGCGCAGTCATGACAACGACAATCTTCTTCTTCCCTAGCTTTTGCGCCTGCGACGGCACTCTATCCAACGGCGCACCAGCGCCAGCTTTCTCGTCGGACACATCTCCAGTCTCATCAGGAGATGGTTGTTCTGTTGATGTCTGTGAGGGCGACCCGACAGGGTCGGGCTTCTCCGAACCATCTCTGGACGAAGAGCCAACATCGGATGGCGACATCTTCTCCGCATCTACTAGGACGTCCTTGTCCTGGTCGGCATGCTGCTGCTGATGCGCGATACGATCATCCTCACGAGGAGAATCCTGAGTGACCGCCATGCTTGCAGAACTCCAGGATGAGTCTGGAGGGGAAAAAGAAGAAAACGATAAAAGAATGACTCAACAGAAGCCGAAAGCTTGCTGTCCAAGAAAGAATCGGGGTTGAGGAGAAAGGAACAGTGACCCCTCAGAAGTGGCGGATTAAACCGACGGTTGCAGTCAGTCTTAAAGTCTAGATTTTGGGGGAGGAAATCAGGGCGCAAGAGAGACCAGCTCAACTAATCAAGTAAATTAAACTAAATAGCTACGTAGCTAGACCAGGCAGGAATCTGGCCCATTTAATAAATAATAATCCTGTTCCAAGGAGAGAAAATTTTCCCCTGTCAATGCTCGCGCTCGCCCTTAAGGCTCGGAGATAAGTTGAAACAGAAACCAACGACTAAAGCCATGCCCAAAACGGGCAAGAATGCTATCGATCTCGTGGGCGCCAAACGAACAAGGCTACAAGCACGCCCGAAAAAGCCACCCCACGGGCCACTTCAATCCATGGGCACGGGATGATAGTCAAGCAATCCCATGGAATGACATACAACAACTGAAAATTTGGGATAAAAATCCCGACTGCAGGAGGGAGAAATTTGGGGGAAGGTAAGTTACACCGTTGGCACGCCCGGACATTTTTTGGGGTTTGTCTGCATGTCTGCATGCCTGAAAAACAAACAAATAAGACCTGTCACAATCCTTCTTAATTTTTTTATTTTTTTTTTTTCTTCTCCCCGACGATGATCTGCAGTGATGCTCTCTATCAGTCATTCAATCATGATGGAGCATCGTGGAATTGAGTCTACACCGCATCTTGACTTGCGTTTTACTAAAGCACCATGCAGCTAAGGGCATTGCAATTGCGCCCGATAGGGGGAAGTCTTGCTTCGCTCGAGACTAGGGAAAACAGAAAAGAAAAAAGCCCATGTCATACTTGTTCGCTGTAGATTTCCCGGGTTTTGCTTGCGACGAAAGATGTTACGAGAAAATAATAAGGGTATAATGTACAATTATAATTAGGGAGGAAACCCTGGAAGAATCCACCAAATCATCCGTATCAAAACTATCCGTCCTGAAGCTGGAGGATTTCTGCACCGACATTAGCAACCAACCATCCAACCTCATTCCACATAACAAGAGTGGGAACCAACTCACCAGTCAAGAATTCCTCGAAGCTCACCGTAATATAGCCGTCGCGATCATCATCATACCGCTTAAAGACATCCGTCATGCGCCGCAGACTAATGCACGCCTGCACGAACAAATCGAAGCTCATGCCCTGTTTCGCCGGCCCATACGGAGGACCATTATTTATCTGCCGGCCTTTGTTTTCGAACGTCCGGAACAGCACCGTCACGAATGGCTGGCTCAGTCGGTACCCGAAGGCCACCAGTGCATTCTCGAACTCGTACAGGCTAATGCGCCCGCTGCGGTCTTGATCGAACCGATCGAACAGCTCCCGCCACGCTGCAAGGTAGCGCCACAGTGCCACAAACTCGTCAAATGAGATCGTCCCGCTGTTGTTCCGATCAAACATGCGGATCATCATCTTAACGGTCTTGGGGTGAAACGACGTGAAGTCTCCGTTCACTAGAGCAGAGCCCAGCTCCATCTCTGTGAGTGTGCCCGAATGCGACGTGTTGGCAGCGCGGAAAAGGGGGAATAGCTGTTGCGGGTCGTCATCAGGAACTGCCAGCGCGCCATGGTTCGGCGAGTTGGGCGGACGCGACGCGGGCGGCGGACGATTGCGCACTGGCTGGCTAGGAGGCGGCCCGAAGCCGTAGTTCTGCGGAGGAGGAGAAGGGTGTAGTGGGTGAGGGCGTTGTTGTTGACTCGCTGGAGGGACGTTTGCCGGCGACCGTCCACCATGCGGGACCTCCATGGGGGGACGCTGACTCGGTGGTGCACCGTAGCGCTGAGGATGGGGATTGCCGGCACTAGAAACGGGGACTCGAGGTGGGACGCCGCTGGAGGAAGGGTGAGGAGATGGGCGAGAATGCTTCTGGTGGTGCGAGTTGCTGGATTGCATGGCACCGAGCATTTGCGCTACCTAATTGTCATAGACCGAGTTAGGAGGCGCGGGGCATTCAAACAGGCAGACAAAGAACCACTCTCGAGGAGAAACTACCGCACCTGTTCCGGCTCTGCATGCCTGTATCAATTTATGGCTTGTTAGCGACCCCATTCATCACTTCTAATTGACCTCCTGAGGATTGTGACTCACGCTGGCAGCGCATCGGGGTTGTAGGACTGGTTGTATGCCATGGCCGCGGATCTGACGTAACTGACGCCGGGCGCAATCCAGCGAGGGGCAGAATGAAAAGGCAAACGCCCAGTTACAAAGGGCGGGTTTTGAAAGGGGAGAAAAAGAAGGGAGAGAAGGAGAAGAAAGAAAAAGATGGGTTGGGATCAAAAGGAGGTCAGGGAGAGCGATGGAGAGATTAAGTTCTGTTCCATGGGCTGCTAGTCATTAACGAACAGATTGTTTTTGCGGCCTTGGGAGCGGAGCCGTGGGGCGGCGGTTCAGCAGGAGTCGCCAAGCGGAGATGCTCAGGCACCGCTTCAACTAATAAACTTGTCCTGCCACCCCTGCAAGGAGGCTGTGTATATACCTCTACAATGAGGAGGCAGCAACAATTGCTTCAGATAGAAATAGTCCGTCGCCAGTGTAACCTTACCCTCTTGACAGCCGCAACGGACGGTCCGCAACCAAACACTGGCATGTCCGACCGTTCTCAGCCCTATGTTGGAGGCTTCTTTATTTGTTCCGGAAATGCTTGGCCCACTGGTTCCTCTTCCATTCGCGGTGGAGCCTGGCCAGCGTCTGTTCGTCGGGGAAGGTCTCTTTCCTATCAAATTATGGTCTGGTATGGTCTGACTATGAATATCACCCATCAGTCACGCTAGCCAGTCATTCAATTGGCCCCGTGCAGGAAGGCGTAGACGTATCGCCCCGGCTAGTGAAGATTAAGCGCTTTTACCACCCCCTGATTGACTCCTTCAGCCCCTCGGATTGCTCCTCCAGCTCGTTCATGATCTCCGTCCACGCTCTCGCCTGGAACTGCTTTCCTTCCGCTCCCGTTGTCAACGCCACGGATTCACTGCCCTAACATTAGCAACCCTGCCACAAAGACAACACGTAGAAATATCACAGAAGAGAAACACTTACTCTAGATATCCATCACTCCGCCAGCACTTCCCATGCGACTCCACCCCCTGATAAGTGGCACTGACCAACGACCGGCTCCCTTGCTCCGCCGTGCGCGCAAAGAGCTTATAAGCCAACCACGTCGCCCATCGCTCGTAGAATCTACTGTACTGCCGTCCAAGAGACGAGACACAAAACCCAGGGCTTACAGTGTTAATGATGACCGGCACAGTGCCATTCTCATTCCGAACAAGACCAGCTACCGTCTTGAGAACATACTCCAGGAGAAGCTTCGAGATACCATACTGCTTGGGGCCTTTGAAGGTCTGCGGGCTATTCAGATGCTTTAATAACGGCTGCACCGTCCGAAGACTTTTGGCTTTCACGCGCACGAACTGTTGGCTGGACACGACCGTAAGATGAGCCGGGTCGGACAAGGATGAGCTACTCCTTAGTTTCGGAAGGAGCAACAGCGCTAACAGAGAAGTGGATAACGTATTGACCTGCAATGTTTCCTCCCATCCCTCGGGCGATACGCCGAAATCTCGGTTCCATATTCCGGCGTTTAGTAACGCAATGTCCAATTGGTGCAGCTCCTCGTTCACCCGGTTTGCGAAACTCTTGACGCTCTGGAAGCTGTTCATTTCCAGCTGCCATACTTGAATCACCCCGGGTCTGTTTGTAAGCTTCTCAAGCTCCGTCTTGGTCGCTTGGCCTCGCTGGAGGTTCCGGCTCCCTATAATGAGCGACTCCACCCCGAGATTGAGGAGCTTGACGGCGGCCTCGAACCCCAGTCCGGATGTAGCTCCGGTCAGGATGACCGTTTTTCCTGCAAATGAAACCCCACTGGGGTCGACCGGAGGGTTATACTGGGTGCGTAGTAGACGAAGGAGGCTAGCCATGATGCAGCTAATCGGCGCGCGACAGAACACTATACAATCCAGGGGGAATAGAAGGACGGCCAGTCATTGATGTAGCCTAAAGGAGCTGACAATCAACACAATCAGGTCGATCAATTAATCTAAGCTGAACAGGGATGCGTCTTCGAAGGATCGGATCCAACCCAACCCTGCATAAAGTTGAAGATAGTTGAATTCAATTGATTAGCGATCCGCCATGGACGATAGCTGCCAGGCGGTTTAGCTTGAGCTAAGGCCGGGTCCGGCGTCTGGGCCGCCCCGCAGCAATACTCGATGCGGCTATACGAGTACGAGCAGTTTCTGCAGTCCGCCAAGGTCCTCAGCAGAAAGTTTGCCGTTGATTCCGGTAGTGACAAGCGGTTCCTAATTTTTCCGGTTCGCAGATATATACCTGTGAATAATATGAGGCTTGGAATAAAGCAACTAGAATTCTGGGGATAGTGCTTAGTACTTAGTATTAGGAGAAATGGAGAGCGAATGAGAAAGCAGGAAAGTGGCAACATCCTTTGGCCGCGGATCAGGTCAGGGGACCTCGCAAACAATGCAAACACGCAGAGGCCTTTCTTGCGACTATCTGGCTCAGTTGTTCGCCATTTGCACTCATAGACTGACAAATCTGGGGTATTTGTTCTTATTAAAGCAGTTGTATTTATTCCACTGCTTTCTTTGGAGTGCCCTTTCTTAGACTACTAAAAGTCAAAAGACCTTTCTCCCTATTAAATACCACTTCTTCTCCCCTACCCATCAATATATATCCATCACGCAAACTCGAATGAGGGGTAATATATAGTACCCCGCAGACCAGCCGAATTATCCACACCGACAAAGATCATCAGGCCAAAAGACCGAATCAAAAACTCCCCCCGAAGATAAGTTAAGCTATGGTGTCCAGCGAGGAAGCCGGGCATCATCATGTCCTTTCATCCGAAAAGGGCTGGCGCGAAAACTTCCCCGACGGCGACCTCTGGGTGTTCGGCTACGGGTAAGCCTATCAGGTCCTTGAACGCGATTGGCGCGGTGATTATCCCATGACTGGGTGACGGTGGTGGCTGACCCTTTCTTCTTTTCTTGCTGCCAAAAGGAGCTTGATTTGGAAGCCTCCGCCGCATTTTGGTATGTTGATGTTGCTCTGGAGAGATAAGAGGGTCTTCGGGGACCTTGGTTGATTCAGAGTGAATTGATCGCTAATTATCGTTGTGGTAGATCAGCGTGTTCCGGGTTATATCAATGGCTATGTCCGACGGTTTTGGCAGGTATGTTGTTGACTATGTCATTGTCTATTCCATGATGTCTGCTTAATTTGTCTGTGGATGATACCGATTGGTGATGATGCTAACTGAGTCATTTGAATCATAGGCTAGGTATGTCTGAATGTGCTTTCAAGCTGCGAAAACCTATTGTTGCAGCACAGTAGGCTAAGACGCAGGACAGTAACGACCACCGCGGCACAAAAGAGAACCCCGGACGGGTATTAACAGTGATTGACCGGGAATTCTGGGAAACTCTCGATGATCCGGTACGATTCCTTTGCTCCCTTCTGCGCCTGCACATATCCTGTTCCTCTGGTCAATTTATCTCACAAACCGCTCCTCGCAAACAGCTAGCACACCATGAAACCTCCGCAACAGCTACAGTCTGGGGTGTAGCGTACCACATCCCTGCCAGCCACGCCAATGAAGTCCGACAATATCTTGACATCCGGGAAATCAACGGCTACTCTGACCACTACACGCCGTTCCACCCGGTCCTGACACCCCAGGGAGCTAGATCTACTGACACCTCGGACTATCCCGCCACCCCCATCACCTGCATGGTCTACATCGGCCAGCCCAGCAACCCGCAATTTCTACGTGACCCGGCACAACGTGAACAACAGGCGGTGGCCGAGGTAATCAGTCGCAGCGAGGGCAAAAGCGGGAAGAACGCAGAATACCTGTTCATGTTGGAGAAGGCGCTCGAGGGGCTTGGGTTCGGTAATGCTGAGATGCATGTCACCGATCTAGTGAAACGGGTTAAAGCGCTTCAGAACGAGGAAGAGGTGCGTAGGGAAGAGGAGCAGGCTGAACGGGACTTGGAAGAGTCGCTGCATCCATCAGCGCGGGAAGCACATGAACGGTTCCCGCCTGCTGAGTAGACATGTCTGAATAAGAATATAGAGAGATAGAGATGATGAGATTGGGATAGATCATGACTTGGACCTAGATTAATTCCAAATTCACGATAGAGCACTGATTGCTTTCGCTGGACCACTTTCCCATCGGCCTCAAATCAGGTGTTAACATAAGCCAGATTACATACATGTCAACCATGACCCGAGTAAACGACGTCAGAAACAATTGATTTAAAGCCACGCGATGCGAAACCATATCAAACCACGAGAGAGATGTCATTATCGCAATGAACTGGCGTGAGAGGGGAAAACAATAACGGAAAGAAACAAGAGATAGGGGTCGTTTCGTCGTAAGTCACCATCATAAAAGCTGGGTAGCATGCGCCCGGGGTTTTATCCCAAACTTTATGTCCGAAGGGACTAACAGCAGCTGACATGCGAGAAAGAGGGAAAAAATCGTGAAAAGAAATGAAGAATAGGACAAGAGACCGGCCCGTAGTAAGCCATCGGCAATGCTATAATAGCTTGCGCAGCTTACTCTGCAGCCTCAGGCTCCTGCTGCTGGGAACGCCAGCCTGCTTTTTATTAGCTACAATATGAAATTTGGAGGGGGAATAGAGGGCCTTGATGCCAGTGCCCACCAGGGAGATAGAAGAAAAAAACTCACCGCCGCCGTTGTAGCCACGGTTGTAGCCACCGCGTCCGTGGAAACCACCACCACCACCCATGCGCGGTCTCGACTCCGAGGCTTTGTCGACACGGATGACACGGCCGTCGAATCTGAAATTTGTCAGTGTTTGGAAATGAAACATCTAGAGGTCTTGCTTACTCCTGGTTGTTCATGGCGTTCATGGCAGCGTCGGCCTCAGCATCAGAGGCGAAGCGGACGAATCCGAATCCACGGCTGCGGTGGGTGTCATGGTCCTTGACGACAATCTGAGTTTGGTCAGTACGAGCATAATGATGGAGAACTTTCATTGCTCCGTGAAACATGGATGACCAACGGCTTCTTCGATTGTTCCATATTGCGAGAATCCCTCACGGAGGGTATCGTCAGTGGTGTGCCAGGCAAGGCCGCTGATTTTGGTCAGTATGCTATTGGGGCCGGGTGGCCTGAAAGGAAAAAAGAATTGACAGACCCGATAAAGAGCTTAGACATTTTTATTGAGGTTTCCTACAACGGAGCTGGAAACTATTCTGGTAGTAAGCACCTGCGGAATGAGGGTGTCACAGCGAAAAATGAGGGGTTGGATGCGATGGTTTCTTTGACAAAGTAGTCACGTCGAACTTTGAGAAAACTTCACAAAAGCCGACCAAAGAAGAGACCTAAGAATGTAGACGGAGGAAGAAAAAGCAAAAGAAAGTAGGAGAGAGAGAGAGGATGAAGGGAATGGTTTTAAGAGAGACGACAGCAGACCCTGGAGGGTCCTCTCCACGACGGAGATTCAGTGAGACCGTTGCAAGTGACTCCACCAAGCATGAAACTAAAACATACTGCCAAGGGAAAGACGAAGAGAAAGAAGAGACTGACCTACCTGATTTGTGAGTGGTGCTTGGAATTTGAGTAAGGGATGGAGGGGTAGTTGTAAACTAAGGAAGCAGTTCTGCAGAACCGGGACCAGGAATGGGGGGGAGTTTTAGGGGGGATTTAGTTTTGTAGGAACCGGTGAGAATGACGAAGAAGAAGAAAACGCGGCTGGCAAAGCGGGGGGGAAAAACGAAAAAAAAAAAAGAGAGGGAAGAAGGGAAGAGGGAAGAGCCTGGCGTGCTCGAGGCTCTAAGGGAAGGGAAGAGAGAGCATCAGGGCTGTTTGTCTTAATAATGCAAACCAGCGATGGGATTGGAGACGCTAAAGACTCATGCCCGGCGCACCTCCGTTCCCCTCCTCTCTTGGAAAAATTATTGGAAAATTGGGGAAAAATCGTTGAGATGTCCGTCGGTGGCTGTAGCCGTTGCACTGGGATCACATTTCTCCGTAGATTCCGGTGGGTGGATATTTACTACAAGTTGGTTTGGCGACCTTCCATCAAGGCGTTTGGAACTACTTACTATCTACTCTACTTGGATGGCGGACGATGCTGAGCCTGCTTTTGAGGATGCGAGAACCGGAAACCAGGCCGGCACTGAAAGGGAGCTAGGTAAGGACTAGAGATCGGCTAGGTCTCTATGCATGGCGCCGAAGCTCAAGGACACAACGGGTGTCAATTTGCAGCTCCCGTTGACCGACGAAGAACTACTCATGTCCCCGGATCCTCGTCGTAGGGCTGTTTAAGATGCCGGACATGGTCTATCTTTCGCTGCACGGACGCTGCTGTTCAACCAACCCAGCAGCTTGTATTGCTGGCATTTGAAGTTGTAACTTACACATGCCGGGAGCATAGACTGGCACTCGCCTGGTACCTGCCAGCTATCTATCTAGCTTATCTGACAGGCCCGGGTCTTCACTACTAAGCAATTCCCGGGTAGAAGTATTCACTGGACGAAGCATTCTAGCTACTGGTGGGGCCAGACCTGCACCGTGCTTCTTTCTATTCACCACACACTCTCATAGCCACCTCCTTAATTGCTATCCACTGGCTTCTTTATTGACCATCAGAATCTGTTTTGGGATTTGATGGGCTGCATGCTTCTCAGCTGCACTCAGGAGTTTGAATTTTCTCAGCAAGTGCGAGCAGCGCATGGACTATGTCCAACCCCCATGTATGAAGGTTGTGTTACCTTCTACCTTTTCTTCCTCTACCGTCAACCTTGTTTTTTCTTCCTCACTCACGGTGCTTCATCCTTCACCCTGAGAACTGCCTCGATATTCTAGGGCCTCATCAGGATGGGTGACATCACTATTGAATACAGTGTGAATATCGATCAAGATGGC